TACCTCAAAGAGCAATAAATTTTAAATGAGAAGTAAACATTTATCAAACTAGCACCTGAGCAACCACAGACCTCTGCCTCTCTTCTCTCCGTGCCACTGGAATCTTTTATTCAAATTACAGGAAGCCAATGAAGGTACCTGGTTTTAAAAGATTTCCCATAACCTTCAGTATTGCTCAGAGGTTTCTGCCAATAATGGCTCTGCCTCTTGCCCTCCACAGTGACTACAGCAGATACCACTGGGCAGCCTTGCTCTGTTCCGGGAGGGAGCCCAGTGCTTGACAGCATGTGGTACAGGCAGGATCAGCTTGTCCTCCCTTTTCTTCTCAAATGTGCATCAAATTCACAACCTAACGACAGCTTTGCTTTCAATCCAACCAAAAAGAGAAGTGCCCAGAGCAAATCTCTAAGCATCTAAAAAAAAAAATAACTAAGCTGAGTTAGTGCAAACGAGGAGCCTCAGCATCACCAAAAACCATCAGCAAATTATGAATTAATTCATCCAGAGAAGAAAATTTAGTGAAAATGTATACTTGCTATACCAAAATATATTGTAAAGGGGAAATTAGACTGTTTAATCTGGGCCACCCTTTGTATCTAATTGCGTCACAGAAATGGAAAATATGGTTTTAAAAGGGTGATGCACAGGACACTATGGAATACTTTCTTGTTCTTGCCTTTGATAGTCTCCAGGGTGAACATCCTCCCTGTCCCGGAAGATGAACAAGCGTTTCCTATGCTGCTGCCATCAGAAGCCCTAGTGCTCAGGTGAGACAATGAAAATCTCCTCTCCTAATGTCCAGGCAGGTTCTGCCTCCTTCCTGCACCTTACAGCAACTGCATCCAGTGGTTGCATACAACCAGCCCCACAGGTTGACTGACTGTTAAATGTATTTGATGAAAGAAAATAGAAACTAAATTATGAGAAAGGACAGAGGGTTCAGAAAATCATTAATGACCAGAAAATGAGTTTTTGACCTATCTGCTGTCATTAGTGCTTTTGTGAACCTTTCTGGTATTTGTAAAACTGCTCTGGTAGTTTGCCTCAACCATTTAGACCAATTACAGACAGCAGGGAGAAGTGCTTATAGAGAAGTTATCTTGGGGTTCATTATACTGGCATTCTACTAGAAATTTCTAATTACTGTCAGAACTTATTTGGTTGCTTTTTGACTGCATTTCATAATTGCTAATGCTTATCATATTCATAACACACAATTACCACATAAAAATGTTTCTATATATGGTACATGAAGAACATAACATTACACAAGAAGCACAACACAAAAAGCAAACACAATGAAGCAAACAAACCATATCAAATTATATGGGAAAGAGCTCGTGTCTTACCTATGTTTAAACTCTTTATTTCTTTATAGAAAGGGAACAGAAGAAAAAAGAACAAACAGTTAGCTGAAGAATAGATGGTAAAGCAAACATAGTATTTGTTTTATTTTACAAAAGGACACAGGAGAAGATATCTCTTTTCAGCACTAGCCTTTGCTTGGGTTACGGATGAAAAGCGACTGGGAGCGATAGAGTTGCAAGCTGGTTCTCTGCCCCCAACCTCCACCCCCCGTATATTTTACAGGACATTTTCTAGACCCCTGAAAGAGTTTCTCACATGGAAATATGAGTATCCTGTGGGCTAGGAGCTAGAAAAACTGGCAGTTTTCTGAATACAGAACAGGGGAGGGAGAAGCACTGGGCTCAGGATATCACCTGCCAGTTGGAGGCAACCTCTTTAATCAAAATAGTTTTCCAACAGGCTACTTCTAAACAAATTTCTACTACAGAATATACTTTCCTCTCCTCCCAGTCCCTAGAATAATTGCTTAAAGCAAGTTTGGATGCTACTCGGTATCTATTTAAGCCTATCAAGCAAACCTGAGGGTAAAAAAACCCAACCCTTCTAAGTGAGCAGTAAGATACTGTACAATGGGCGATAAATAGCATTAAAGGATCTGTATCATCTAGACACGAAGTCAAAGGAAAAGTGTCCTTTACTTCCCGGAAGTAAATTAATACATTCCCCACACCACAGTGTTTCACTGTGTTTAAGTCATTTCCATTTAGGAACATCCAAGGAATGAAACAAAGAGGTGCATGAAAACTCCCGAGCTGCAGCACTCAATGCACTGCTCCAAACTTGCAATACCAGCGTGAAGCGTGACATGCAACACTCCTGAGTCAAAATTCCTATTAGCTACTCAGAGCAGGCATCTTCATAACGACAGTGCGAAGCAAATATGCACACTGGGATGTTCTGACTTACAAAGTTACTCAAGATTTATACTGGCTTATGTAAAACCAAAATTACACCCGTTGGGAAATCTAAATAGTGATGTATTTGGTTTTTAATACTTATGAACATATTATTTGCAACGTTATTCAAGCTACTTGATACTAGCTGAAGACTGGTCTCATTCTTACTTATTTAGCTCAAATTGTCAACCTCTTACGCATGTAACTTATATAGATTTTAAGTTTACTACTGAATCATGACTGCTGCTATAGATGATGTTTGCTGGAAGGGACCTTAATTCCCTTTAGAGGATCAGGGGACAAAAGATATCACTGCAAATGCTAAAAATCTGTGTGTCAAGCTATTTGCAGCTGTCCAATAGCACTCAAAATGCAATGGCTTTATTGTTCATTGCTAATAGCTGCAACAGAAGCTAAAGAAATTATGCTATGGAAAGCAGACCTTCCTAAAAGTAGAGAGAAAGTGGACAAAAGCGGATTAAGAAGTCCATCTTCTGTTTCTTTACAGATGTTCTCATTTTCCCTCATACATGCTGAAAAGCCCAAGTTCTTGAAAAGCCCAACAAACACTTTACTGTTTGTTGTAAACTTGGAGACAACATTTCCAAGTATCAGGTGGCCTGGGAAACTCTCTGGCTGATATTAGCAAGTGAGGTGCATGTAAAAGCCTTACATTAATTATCCAAATTTGAAACTGTTTCTCTTCACCTATAAAGATGTGATCCTATTTACTGGAAAGCTAAAATGAACTGAACAAATTAGAAACAAAAAAAATCAGCATTATATACCTTATAATGCACAGCTACAGTGTACATTGAAATAAATATTTATAACTGGTCGCACATCCATACCAGCTCCCTCCTGTGGTTTATACTGAGCTGCCAGCAGAAAGCATGCCATGATCTATGACTTTTTGGAGTTTCAAATCTAATGAGGCAGCCTGATGGTATATGAGGTAGGTGTCAGAGAGTGATTTCAGGGTAGAATTGGCCTGAATTGGAACTCTTTTGTTGTATAAAATCAGAATTCACAATAGTGACATCAACAGAATGACATGAATGGAAGAGAGGTGTAGAATAGAGCTAGGCCTCCTATTCTCTCACTGTCCAATCATTTTGCACTTTCTCCCACTAATTAAAAACTAAAAGTACAGTGGAAGAGAGGAACTGGTTATGGCCATATCATTAAAAAAAAGGCTAATGACCTAAATTTACTCTATGGACTTTGCAGCTGTATCCAATTTACAAGAGAATTAACTGTATTGCCTGAGTGGGCTGCAGAAGTATCAGGAAACAGCCAGTATAAGCTATTTTTTTCTCATTTTTCTGCAAATACTCAATAGTGCTGTAACTATAAGGTCCAGTTACATGAGTTACAGTTTGAAGCAGTAGCTCTTGCCTCTCCTGTAAGAATGAAGAAAGGAGATGGAACAGAAATGGGTGAAGTGGTACACTCTATGCTCATGCCTTCCCTATTAAGTGACCAAATCTTAATGCTGGGGAGGGGGCGCGGGATGGGGGGACAGAGGTTCAATCTTAAAAGGAGTTCTGATGATGAAAGTGACTCTGTATGTCAATCTTAACTGCACTAGTCAATGTACAGAAATAGACTCACAAGCATGGGAAAGCAGTGGGAAAGTGGCTGTCAAAACCATTGACAAGAAAACCTTCCTGCTAACCTTGTAAATCTGTTTGAATTTGCTTATCTCTGTGGCTCAATACCTAAGGGCAGTCAATTCTGCAGTTTTCAAACAAAACTAAATGATGCATAGTACTGAGGGGAGATTGTATCAAATGATCACCAACAAGAAAGAAGAACATGGTTTGTTCTTTTTGTACAAGCCTGTTTGTCCTTTCCTCTAACTTCTCTATAGTTATTGCTCTGATAAACTACAGACTTTGAACTATGCATTTCTGTGCCCCATTTCTCCACTGGAATTTAAATAGGTTGAAAGTGACAATGTTTTACAAAATTATAAAAAGTAATGGCAAAGGCTGGTTTGAGCACAGGCTACAGAAATGAAGCAATAAGGTTAACACCTTACCTCAGCTCCAATATACTAGTAACATTCCTGGATGGGAAGATACGCCGAATATAGTTAAAATCTCCAACAAAGAGACTTCCATCAATACCCACTGCCAGTGCTACAGGGGCCAAAAGCTTATTTCCTTCTGCTAGACCATTGCAGCTGGGACAGGATATGCTTCTTCGGCGCCCATTCCCCATAATGCTGGTTATCACAGCTGGCTGCTGAGTTAGAAACTGATTTTCTCCATTGCCTTTGTGCAATATACCTAATAACAAAGAGGAGAAGAAGTGGTTATTACTGTCATTCACTGCAGGGGACTTCAGGTAGTTCTCTTTTCAATAGCTGCTGTTAAGGACTGTACACTGAAATGACTGCAGCATTTGCTTCTTCAATGGTGCAAAAAGAATGGAAGGGCTTTCCGACAGTAAAATAAAGGTTTAATGAAGATGCTAAAACCCACACATGTACACAACCACAGCCCCAGACATAAACCCACAGTCCTTTGGTATTCATTATGAAAGAAAACACTGCCATACAATTCTCTGGCCTGTCACAATGGTTTAGATTGTTTTATTAACTGGGAAGTGAGAAGGCAAACAGTGGATGTGTTCCTTATTTGTGTCCCTGGATTCTCCCACTCCACTTTCCTTTGTTACATTCTGTCTGGAATTTCATGCCAGCCTTACTGTTCCCTTTCCACTTCTCAGTCTTTCACACTTTTTTCATGGAAAATGAGAAGTGAGAAATGGAGGCACAGAAGAAAATGAAAGCACAGCAAATGGAAAGAGAGGAGAAAGATGAAACTCCTGGAAGGGCTGCTAAGGATCAACAAGGGAAGCTAGTGGTAAGGATCTTTAGCAGGCTTGAAGAAGTGCTTAAAGATGGGTTTTCTTCTCAAAATATTAGTTCAAAAAGCAGACCCCTGCTCCCAGAGGGGAGTGGATCCTCTGCAGTGACCATTTTCCATGCCATCAAAGACTGTAGAAACCTAACCAAAAAATTTTAGCCTCTGGTTCTCTTGGAAATCATAGCATCATAGCATAAACCAGGTTGGAAAAGACCTTTAAGATCATCAAGTCCAACCCAGGACTGCCAAGCCCACCACAAAACCATGTCACTGAGGGAATAAGATGCTTTAATGTTTTCTACATTAACCTGGCATTCTGAAATCACCGTTCTTTGGATTTCTTCTGTTGCGTGCCTCAAAGTCTTGTCAATTTAGTTGTGTGATGTGGGGTTGTAAGCAATTGTAACAAGTTTCACTCTCTGCAACTTCATTCTGAAGTTGTGCTGCCAGAGGCAGTTGTATGCAGTTGTATGATGCTAATGTAACTGGGACCCTGCTGGTGACAACAGTGAATTATCATGTACTATCCAAATGACTATCATCTCTACAGCATCTGACTGCTGCACAACACCTGAAGTGTGTGCAAAATCTTGCCTATTCTGAATACTACTTTATGCCTATTCTGAATACTACTTTAGGTTTCTTGAGTAACAATATCCTTTGCAATTGGTTAATGCTGGGATCAGCAGGAAGGCTGTAGAAAACACTTCACAGGATCAAATGAAATGCATGCTAAGCATTCAGCTCCCTAAGGTATTTCAAGTAAAATATGAAGACCAGGAACATTCAGCTTAGGATATGTAAAGACAAAGAAAAGGGAGGAAAAACCAAACAGGTGACAAAGGAGAAGGACAAATGAGACTCAGTATCTCATCACAGACTTGTACTCCCTCTAAGCCCCATCTCAGATTAGAGGGAAAAAGGTCAAACGGAACCAGAATGGGTGTGGTTGTTATCAGAAAAACAGGGAAGGAAGACAGAAGGACATTACGAGGGAATACATGAACAACAGATTAGAGGATAAAGGACTTGCTGTGCAGAACAGTAAAACATTTGTTGAAAGTCTACAAAAACTTTCTGACAACTGAAACGTGTGCATGCTTTCCTGAGCCAAAGGTGGAACAAAAACACTGGAGAAATTGCTTTTTCAAGTGTAAATATAAAGCAGATAAAAAGGGTTCACAAAACTCCATACAGCACAGAAAACACGGAATTAACTAACTCACCACTCTTGACATTAAGTACATGATGTTTATCCAAAGACCATCCTCCTAAATTTGAAGGATCTAGTTCAAAGCCTTGCAGCAGTGCTGTCCTCTTCTCCCATAAAATGAGACTGGGGCAAGTCTCATATTCAAACCCCACAGAAACTGAAATAAAATAAAAACTAATATACTTGCTGAACAAACACTGAATTAAATGTCCAGAGCACATTCAAATCATTCAGCATTCCAGCTCCCCAGCCCCTCAAGATGGAGTGATTATATTCCTCTCTTTTATTCTACAATATTAAATTCAGATCTTTGACTAGACACAAATTTGAAACTTCATTCATATGTACTCTGCAGGGATCTGATCACTTCTCTTTGAATAGCTGGTGGTGAGAAGTGAGAGTTTGGTGAGAGTGAGAAATACGGGGTTTAAAATATCATAAAATTATTCTATCAGATCACAGATGAGATCAAAGTCTTCATTTGCCATGTGTTCACAGGATTTATTTAGTGCGTTCACCTTACAGACCATATACCAAGGAGCAGTGAAAAGTTTGGGTGCTTTTAAGCACATAGGCACTGCAAGCATTACTCAGGAAAGCAATATCCTATGCAACAATGTAAGAAAAGCTACAGCAAAGACGATTTTAGAAAATATAGAAAAGAAATCAGAGTTTGAAATCGGTTTTTCTTTTCACACTGGCACAGCTCTGATGCCTCTTTTTAGCACTGCTGTATCAAAAGGGTTCTGATATGAAAATGAAAACTTAAAATATGATGATCACTCTCCCTCCCCCCCCACTAGAACCAAGTGAACTAAAGCCAGCTATAGAACTACAAGACTGAGCAGCATTAGAAAAGGACCGTTTTCATTTCAAATGTATTGCACCACAAGAGGCTATAATAGCATGCATAAAAACCCAAATGCACTGAAGAATGCCAGACAGCCCAGCAGGATGTTCATTTGTTAACTGAAAGAAAATAAACACATAGTGATGGACTAGGTTTCACCTAAGTTCCTGTGGCCAGTTTTTCCCATGTCTGGTCTAAACCTTGTAAGTCAGCTACCGATCAGGAAACACAGGCATGTTGATGGAGTTTAAACCCTCTGAATGTGATCTTTAATGTGTAAAAGAAACATAATACAAAGATAGATTGTGTCAGGAGGACAAGAAATGTTTAGTCTGTATTTGCTTCCCCATAAGAAATCTATGCAGTTTTCTTACTGAGAATTACAGGTCTTACTTGAAAAGTTTTGGAGCTTGTATATGCTGACTTACCTACAGCATCTGACAACCCATAAACCTTCTGACCATACGCATCTGTTTTGTCCCAGATAAATGTATATGCCAAGTTGGGAGATGCCTGAAATGATTTTTGAAACAAATGCCCTTCTACTGCTACCATCAAATGAACTTTGATTAGATTCAGTGGCACAAGTGACTGAGTCATGGTGATCTTAAGTAGGGATTTGTATCCAGCAGTACGGGAACTCAGGTAGCTGAGCTTTATGCTAGAGCCAGGGATCTCAATTTCTTCATGAAGAACCTGAACAGGAAAAAGATCAAACATTTCACATTAGTGCTTTGTTATTTTTTCTTAATAATGTCCCCTTGCCTATTCTTATGGACTTACAACTTTCTGATATTGGGAATTGCTGTCCTCAACTGACATTTCTGGAGAAGTAACTCTTTGGTATCTGTGTACACTTTCTAAGAGCCCAGTGCTGGCACAAGTGCAAATAAGTACAAGTACTTTTACTGCAAGTTATATTTAAGGGGAACATAAGAAATAGTCACAGGAAGCAGCAGCTTTCACTAACAGCATAAAGTAAAGACTAACTAAAGTAGTGAAACAATAGCATTGGTAGAGTTTTCCTTTGTCCTAAACAGCCTGTAGTTAGCACCACACACTTTACATAATTCTCTTGAAACACCTAAGCTGTCAACTGAAATACAGAGATGCACCTGATATATTGTTTGATAACGAGAAGGTGCATGGTAGTCAATGATAAACGTGTCTGGGCGACATAAACTTAGGAAATCTCCTGCAGACCTCATTGGAAAACCCGGTATCTGTCAAAATGAATGCAGCTCACAATTCCAGGGGAAAAATGGTGCCTCTGCAGCAAGTGCTCAGTTCAGTACTAGCACCTCACCACTGATTTCCACATTCTTTTCACTCACACTGTTCTTACCTGGGTTTCTGGTACAATGGGATTCCGGCCTGGAGCATCACTGAAGAAAGTTGAAAGTGGTGATGAAATGATGAGTGGGTCAGGACGGACAAAACCACTTAGATCACAGCTGGGAATGGAGTTCTCCTCTGTCTTCATGGCAAGTGTGTCCATGGCATAGAAGCTATTCCATGGCAACCATACTGTCCTTTCCTGACTCATAAATGGAGCCCGTTCAAAGTGCAAGGTTAGGGATGCTCCACCATTTGCCACCAAGTCAAACCTAGAAAAATGTGGGCTTTAGAAGTGACAAGACTGAATAATTCCAGTAACAGAATTCCTGGCTAATGAAATAGGTATATCAGTATACCTACAGCAATAGGTGTATGTCCTGGCTTTGGCTGGGATAGAGTTTGTTTTATCCCTAGTGGCTGGTATAGTGCTGTGTTTTTGCTTTAGGACAAGTTGATCATAAGGCGATGTTTTAGTTGTTGCTGAGCACTGCTTACACTAAGAAGGACTCTTCAGCTTCTTGTAGTGACCTGCCAGCAAGGATGCCGAGGGCGCATGGAGGGGACACAGCTGGGACAGCTGACCCAAGGGATATCCTGTGCCATAGGACATCCTGCTCAGCAGATAAACTGCAGGGAAGGCTTGGCCAGGCCACTGCCTGGGGACTGGCTGGGCATCGATCTGTGTGGGGTCGGCAGCTGCTTTGCACTTGCATCACTTGGGGTTTAGTTATCTCTTTTTATTTTGTTATTTTCCTTTCATTACAATTATTAGCACTATTATATTACTGTTATTATTAGATTTTATTTCAATTTTTAAACTGTTCTTATCTCAATCCATGAGTTTTCTTGCTTTTACCCTTCTGATTCTCTCCCCCGTCCCACCAGGGTGGCTGCATGGGTCTGAGCTGGTGGCTGGGCTTAAACCACAACTGCATTTTTCAGTATTATGCTTCAAATGATCAGTAATGGCATGTGAACCTCTGGCCACTGAACAACTGAAATCCAGCCAAAACAAGCAATGATTTGAAGTTACCTGGACAAACCTTGTCCCTATGTATTATAAACTCTACATTAAATATATAAAAAATACCCAACAAACAAATCACCCCATTTATTACCACAAGTCACCTTTATTTATAGAATCAGCAGAGAAGCCAAGTTCATATGGCACTGGGCACTGAATTAGCCCTTTTCTAAGAGATGCTGTCCATTAAGTACAGAACGGGACATGTGGCAGTATAGTAATGAATAGTAATGAAAAGCTTTGCTGTTTGTGTTCTACAAATCAGGTAACAATTCCTGTGCCCAGGACAATTGATCTCAGTTTTCAGAGAGATGAGGTATTTACATCCACCCCTACATAACCAGAGCAGTAATATGTAGCTGCGCAGGCATTTTGAAATCTGGCCTGAGTAAAATACTTCCAGGTTGTTCTGACAACAGAAGTAGATATCAGTCGTTTCATGGCAACATGACAAATTACTCCATGATTTATATAACCTATTCAGATTTAAATACAGTTCAGTTCAGCATTTACTGTAGCATGAAACCACTGAAGTCAAGCACAGTATGCTTTTATTATAACAGAATAATATTCTGGGAAATATGGAAATTAAACACTCCCTATAGTTCATTTGACTCCTATTAATTATTTCAATTCAATTGTTTGCATGCAAGATGAAGATAAAACAGCAAATGTTTACAATGCACGTGTCACAGAGAAACTGGTTTAGTTACCATAGCCAGGAAACTAGATAAACCCCGACACTCTGATTTGTGTTTATCTGAATTTGTGTGCATTTCAAATCAGCTGATACAAGGGGGAAAAAGCACTTTTTTGCACAGCAGGAAATTGTCTAAATATATTCAATTAGAATCTTTTGATTACATTCTACCCTGAAGAAGCTCAAAAGATAGTGGATCTTCAAAAGGGAAGAGAGTCAGAAGGGAACTCTTAACAAAATATACTCTTCTATAATGATACTTTTTTTTCCCTAGCAGGGTTTGCCTGCCTTGCATTTTAAAATGCAGTATTTCTGGTCTCAGCTGGATATTACTGTAGTCCACAAATGTTTTCATGGATACAAAGCAATTTATTGTAAAGGAGTGTGCCTGCTAAGACGTCATTATCAGAAGTCAGCCCTTGCATATCTACTCGCAGTTAATATTCAAAGTGCCATGTGAAAAATTACTTTTGTGTTTACTTAATAGTTCTTTGCCCTGGGAGGAATGCGACGCATGGTACCACATGGTTCCATTAGATCATACCATCTGTTAATCAGCAAAGACACTATCTGAAATAGAGACACAATGAAGCAAGCAAACTCACGTGCCATCCTGACGAGTGATGGTATAGCCATACTTTGGATACTTGACAAATGACACGTTGACCCCAACTAGAGGCGTTCCATCTGTAGTCACCACTTGGCCTCTTATGAGAGACACGAGACTGAAGAAGAAAGATAATTAAAGGTATTAAAGTTAGTTATGAAAGTTACGTGGCTTATAAACTGAGTAGTGGAACATTTGTGCCTCATTTACTCTAAATCAGAAGATTTTTAGAAGATACTGAAGATGTTGGCCCAGTGTCATCTATATACTTATATTTATACTGCTGACCTATGCAGTGAGGTCTGTGTATACAGAATGGGAGTTGGTGCCTTGTCTAACAAGGCTTTGTTTCACTGTCTAAGGAGGCTTTGCAGAGTAGAAAGCTGTCTCATATTCAGCAATGTCAGAACTGTGACCTTGAAGTCCCACTGAAACAATACTTGGGCACTTCTCAAAAACCTCCCTGGGTACAACAGAGTGTCTGTGGATGCCTCATACACTAGGCGAATACAGTGTAATGTCATACCTCTTTTATACAACTAGTTTTCCAAACCGAGGTTCATATTCCTTCATCTTAGGGTGTGACTGATGTTTGTACACTGCATTTGGTCCTGATCTGCAACCTTTACTTTTCAACTTTGTCAGCAGGTGAAAGGACTTTAAGGCCAGAGTTTTCTTAGCCAACAGGTTAAGCAGCTTTGCTTAACCTAATGGAGAAGAAGAGGGGTCATTCACATGTGAGCCACAGTCAGTCTGTTCTCTTTTGAGAGTACTCTGATGCATCTAAGAACAGAGTGGGCAGAAATCACTGCTGCCCACCTGGTTGCCTCCTCAGCCTCCGAGCGCTGGAAACAGCAAGTCCCACTGCTCCCTGCTGCACTGCTCTCCTGCCTGGCCAGTCTGTTCCTGCCCCTCTCCTCTCCCAGCTGGAGAGGAGTCTCCATGCCCCAGCTCCTTTCCCTTCCACATTCCCTGTACCCTGGGAGAAGCAGATTGGTGAGTGGGGAAAGCTGCATGGTCAAAGGGAGATGGAAAAGACATCCTTGTAGATGTACGTCTCCTCTAGATGGTTTCCTTTTCTATATGGAAAACATGAAAAAAGGAGAAAGCAATCTGGGGAAACAGGGAGAGTTTTAAATCCTGCTGTAAACCATAATCTATAGGATCAAAAATGAGGCAGAAAAGCCCCATTTTTGAACAGACTGTGCTGGAGGGACTGGAGCTGCCCCTAAGTCTTTGCAGCTCCATGCACACCAACAGGCATAGCACCCTGACACCCAGCATCCTGATACCCAGCATCCTGACACCCAACCTGAGCTGCAGGACATGGGGATCAAACTGAGCTGCTTGCCTGAAACCTGGTACAATGCAGTTCAATTCCGGCATGGCTCTAAGCAGATGGCATCAGAGCACATCTATTTGCACTAGTTTAACCATGCCAAGTGCAAGGTCCTACACCTGGGTCGGAGCAATCCCAGGCACAGCTACAGGTTGGCAGAGAAAGAGATTCAGAGCAGCCCTGCAGAGAAGGACTTGGGGGTGTTGGTTGATGAGAAAATGAACATGAGCCGGCTTCAGTGTGCACTTGCAGCCCAGAAAGCCAACCGTATCCTGGGCTGCATCAAAAGGAGCGTGACTAGCAGGTCGAAGGAGGTGATCCTGCCCCTCTACTCTGCTCTTGTGAGACTTCACCTGGAGCATTGTGTGCAGTTCTGGTGTCCTCAACATAAAAAGGACATGGAACTGTTGGAACAAGTCCAGGGGAGGGCCAGGAGGATGATCAGGGGCTGGAGCACCTCCTGTATGGAGACAGGCTGAGAAAGTTGGGGCTGTTCAGCCTGGAGAAGAGAAGGCTGCGTGGAGACCTCATAGCAGCTTCCTGTATCTGAAGGGGGCCTATGAGGATGCCGGGGAGGGACTCTTCATTAGGGACTGTAGTGACAGGACAAGGGGTAACGGGTTAAAACTTAAACAGGGGAAGTTTAGATTGGATATAAGGAGGAAATTCTTTACTGTAAGGGTGGTGAGGCACTGGAATGGGTTGCCCAGGGAGGTTGTGAATGCTCCATCCCTGGCAGTGTTCAAGGCCAGGTTGGACGAGGCCTTGGGTGACATGGTTTAGTTTGAGGTGTCCCTGCCCATGTCAGGGGGTTGGAACTTGATGATCTTAAGGTCCTTTCCAACCCTAACTGTTCTATGATTCTATGAATATCAGGGATTGTTTTCAGGTCTTTTCTATTAACTCTGAGATGTTCAAGATACTTGATGTAAATTTCTAACTGTATTAACTGCCTATTCAACCACTACTTCCTTCCATTTTTATTCCAAACAAGGTATAATATGTTCTTCAATATTACATAAAAGAAATTAATGAAAATTAACCATTTCTGTTACTTTGGTTTCAGAACTTTCAATCGTTACTTGACCCTTCAGGTCAAATTCAAATTGCAAAATCAACATTTCATAAAAGAATATGGAATTTAATAGAAGCTGCCCAAGATGGCATTATTGTTCTTGCTTGAATTATTTTGTGTTACAAACATACAGAAATAGCTGTAGGAAGATAGTCACTCAAGCTTCTATAGGGGAACAGTACAGAAAGCAGATAAAGGAAGAAATCATCATATGGTAGAAGAAAACTAATAATGTTCATGACTTAATTTTTTCTACCTTCAGTTTTAATACTTCAGGAAATAATTTGAATAAGAACATTGTGGCTAATACTTTTCATTTCTAAACCACCAACATATGGGACACAATAGAGATGAAAATTTGTAGCTTAAATCTGGATTTATAAGAAGTACTATGTTGACTGATAGTCACAGAGAGGACAACTTTCATTTTGCAATCTTTCAAATATCTTTAAAATTGACAAAATAGGTGATTCTTGCAATCAACGCATTTTGTTATTTACTGCTTTAGCAGAGTAGGAAATAACTTTCTTTTTCTTATGCTAGTACTGGAAAAAATCATAACCACTATTTTGTCCCGGTTTGAATGAGAGGTTGAGCTAAGAAAAGAGAGAAGGCATTATCTGTCCTGTTAGCTATTCTTGAGACTGTGGCAGCTTCAGTAAATGTGAAACTTGGAATCTAACCCTGTGGCACTTTTACAAAGTCAAAAATCTTAGTTTTAAAACCTTCAATTTGACACTTTGTATTAGATTTGCCTAAAATTGGTACCAAAAATAACAGCTGAGCTGTAGATTTCTCAAAAGCACCTTCACGACTTAGAGGTTAAGGCCAATTTAAAAATGTCATTAATATGCCATTTGCAAAGATGTGTTAAAACACACGACACACTTCAGATGAATAAAACAGAACTAAAACTCCTGCCACCAGCAACCCTAGAAAAGATACTTAACATAAAGCTAAAATTTAGAATGAGATTTTTTCAAAGAGCCTCAGGATTGAAGTCCCCAGCTCCCACTTAGTCGAGGGCTCTAATTCATACTGTTTAGAAGACTCCAACCTCTACCCATGCCTACACAGCTTGATTATTTCTAATACAGTTTCTAGTATTTCTTGGGTGGCATAAGAACATCCGCATGTCATGATAGTCCTCTAGAAATCTGGAAGGATAATCACCTGCTTTTGTACAATACTTCAAGCTGTAGGAATGAAGCGCTGGATCATGTTAGCAACACAACTAAACATTCCAGATGATAGCGCAATACAGATACAGGGAATACTCATTTTCATTCTGGGTGGCTTAATGAGACAGAGGCTCAAGCACTCATTACATACAGTATGGCACAGGAAACTGCCTGCTCCTCTTAACTCCAGGAAATTTTGGTGATCATAACACATAGAGAGCAGCAGGCACCAACCAGCCTATGGACTGGATGT